GGAGTCCTCCTTAGCCTCAACAGCCTCACCACTAGTAGAATTCGAGCTAGCGTCATCGTTTGTACTCTGAGATGAATCAGCATGCTGACTCGCCGCCTCCTCGGTCTCACTGGTCTTAGTATCATCGCTACCCAGAATAGGCTCTGAGGGCTGCTCCCAACTCGGGCGCTCCTAGCTCGGCCTCGAATGCGTGCTGGAATCTCTCTCTCTCTCTCTCCTCCTTGTCGCCGAAGGAGGTACTAATGGTCCTGCTCCAGCTCTTGCTGGTGCGTCCAATATGGCTGGGATCTGAAAAAAGCAATTGTCAATATATCAGTCTCAATGTATATAGCAGATGCAAAGAAAATATGCAACATGAATGAATGCAGTATTTGAGTGCAAGTGTATCATATCAGTGTAGTATGGAACATATTACGGTTGAAATGCTAATGTATCGGCAGAAAGTTTGATGACATGAAGCGCGAACTGAAGGAAATTTCTCTCTCTCTCTCTCTCTCTCTCTCTCTCTCTCCTCCTTGTCGCCGAAGGAGGTACTAATAGTCCTGCTCCAGCTCTTGCTGGTGCGTCCAATGTGGCTGGGATCTGAAAAAAGCAATTGTCAATATATCAGTCTCAATGTATATAGCAGATGCAAAGAAAATATGCAACATGAATGAATGCAGTATTTGAGTGCAAGTGTATCATATCAGTGTAGTATGGAACATATTACGGTTGAAATGCTAATGTATCGGCAGAAAGTTTGATGACATGAAGCGCGAACTGAAGGAAATTACTAGAATTCCGTAGAGGTTGAGCAGATGCATGCTTCTCTGCACCATCCCCATTAGAGATGGCAATCTGAAACCGACCCGACGGTGACCCAACCCCCCGTCCCCGAATTTAATGGTTATTCATCGAAAAATATCCCCTACGGGCCGGGGACAGTATTCAAAATTTCATCCCCGATGATATCCGGGTCGGGGACGGGGATAGGTGTTTCAGACCCGGACCCGGTCCGGCCCGGCCCCCCGGCCCCGGCCCCGCCCTGCTTATTCCCCGAGATAAAATTACCGTTTTGTCCTTGCATATATATATATATCATATATGCTTGTATTTGTTTAGGGTTTCACTTTCAGACACCAAACTCAGCCTCTCACACACGGCGCTCCTCTCTCTCTCTCGCAGCTCGCCACTGGTCTCTCCCTCTCTCTTTCATCTGTCACTGCCGCGCCTCCCTCCTCACCGGCGATCCTCCATCACCACCGAGCCTCTCACTCACACACGGCGCTCCTCTCTCTCTCTCTCGCTCACCACTGGTCTCTCCCTCTCGCTCGCCACTGGTCTCTCCTTTTCTTTTTCATCTGTCACCGCCGAGCCTCCCTCCTCACCGGCGATCCTCCGATCGTCCCTCACCGCCGCTCCTCCGGCTCTCTCTGTTTAGGTATCTCTCTCTCTCTCTCTCTCTCTCTAGGGTTTACATATATGTATATATATCTGAGTGTTTAGAAATTAGATCTAAGTGTATAGATCTGTAAATATTTTGTATATTTGAGTTTAGATCTGAGTATATATCTGAGTTTCCATTTATTTTTGGGTCAATATTTTGTATATTTAGCTTCAGATTTGAAAGACATCATGGGAAGTAATGGTTTTATTTTATTTTGTTCTTCAAGTCTTGATTCGGATTTAAATTTAAAATGACAGAAAAGATAATTTTGTTTATTTATTTGTTTCGTTATAATCTGGTCTCTGGTTATTGAGTGCAGGTGTGGTTCATATCACTAGATTTTCAATATATATATATATATATATATATTTCTTACTCTTTCATGTTTTTATTTTATTTTTATTTAGCATTTGTACTTTTGATTTCTTGTTTGAATTCTGCTAATAGAACACTGATATAATTTGGTGCCCTAGGTCTACATTCTCTATTTGTGAATGATTGTGCTGTAACTTTTGGATTTCTTACTATTACTGACATGTCGTGGAAGAAAACTTGTTTAGTTATTGGGCATTGATCCTTTTTATGTTTTTGCAATGTTAAAAGTGATGAATATAGCTCATGGTGCATATTTAAGAAGGTTATGAAAATGTTGCTTGAACTCTAGACCCTTGGATGTGTCCTATTTCAGGATTAAAATGTTGCAAAGAAGGTTAATACTTAAGACCCTTGGATGTGTCCTATTTCAGGATTAAAATAACAGAACACTGATATATACTCAAGACCCTTGGATGTGTCCTATTTCAGGATTAAAATGTTGCAAAGAAGGTTAATACTTAAGACCCTTGGATGTGTCCTATTTCAGGATTAAAATGTTGCAAAGAAGGTTAATACTTAAGACCCTTGGATGTGTCCTATTTCAGGATTAAAATAACAGAACACTGATATATACTCAGATCTAAACTCAAGCAGAGGAGAGGACCTGCAGTCAAAGTGCTTGCTTGAACTCTACGGACCGGAGGTATTTTGATTCTATTGCTTTCTTGCATGTGGAGCTTATATTGGTGAGACACAATTTGACAGTGATTATTTGAACTAATGGAAGATATAATTTGGTTGCATTTTGTTAAAATGATTATTGCCACAAATCATGTTTTGCTGCATTAGTGATAATCAATGTTCACAGACAGAACCTGTTTGCTTCAACTCAGGGAGTGTGTACAGTTTGATTTTAAGAGCTTGAGTTTGACAAATGGGGCATCAAATTGTTTACTTTTTGCAAGATATTAATAATGAGGCCACTATCAATTTTTTTAACCTTGCGTTTGGATTATCTATTTAAATTCATTATTTAAATATAGTCTAAGTAAATCAGTTGAGCTATCTTAGTTGATTACTATTATATACTTTTATATGAATAGTTAAGTGTTTAATTCTTCCTTAAATGCAACAATTGATAATTTCTTTTCCATTTTAGATTAGATCAAAATTATCTGGATACAATTCTGTTCAAATTGTAAATAATTTTCTATTGATGAATAATAAAATAAAAATCTAAGTGACAATGGCTCCATTTGGTGCATGGTTTATAACTTCTTCTTTTTTAATTTTTTAATTTTATGAACTATTATCAGAATATTTGGTATAATTTTTTATTATTGTTTGCTATACAAAAATAGTTTAAGGTTGTGTTTAGATCAATGATTTAAATAGAAATTTGTGAGTGAGAAAAAAAATAAAAAAATAATAGTAATGTTTTCTAACTTTTTTTCTTCTTTTCATTTTTTTCTCAATCATTGTTTCAAACACATCCAAAATAAATTTAAATAGTAGATTATCTAAAAGTATGAAAAATAATTTTTAAGATTTTGTTTTTATTATCAACTTTTGTGCTTACGAAAAACTATAGGGAATACAGCCAATATGTTTATTTAAAGTCGCCTCAGGCATACGCTAGGCAGGCCGACACTTTCCAGGACCTTCATATTTTTTTTTAAATTAAGGATTCAAAAAAATTCAGCCCCTATACTTCATCAAGAATATTTAAAAATATGCATGTGGAAGAAAAATGTATCCTAAATAATGAGTTTTCTTCTGGATTAGGAGTTTGTCTAACTATGTTAAAAGTGATGAATATAGCTCATGGTGCATATTTAAGAAGGTTATGAAAATGTTGCTTGAACTCTAGACCCTTGGATGTGTCCTATTTCAGGATTAAAATGTTGCAAAGAAGGTTAATACTTAAGACCCTTGGATGTGTCCTATTTCAGGATTAAAATGTTGCAAAGAAGGTTAATACTTAAGACCCTTGGATGTGTCCTATTTCAGGATTAAAATGTTGCAAAGAAGGTTAATACTTAAGACCCTTGGATGTGTCCTATTTCAGGATTAAAATAACAGAACACTGATATATACTCAGATCTAAACTCAAGCAGAGGAGAGGACCTGCAGTCAAAGTGCTTGCTTGAACTCTACGGACCGGAGGTATTTTGATTCTATTGCTTTCTTGCATGTGGAGCTTATATTGGTGAGACACAATTTGACAGTGATTATTTGAACTAATGGAAGATATAATTTGGTTGCATTTTGTTAAAATGATTATTGCCACAAATCATGTTTTGCTGCATTAGTGATAATCAATGTTCACAGACAGAACCTGTTTGCTTCAACTCAGGGAGTGTGTACAGTTTGATTTTAAGAGCTTGAGTTTGACAAATGGGGCATCAAATTGTTTACTTTTTGCAAGATATTAATAATGAGGCCACTATCAATTTTTTTAACCTTGCGTTTGGATTATCTATTTAAATTCATTATTTAAATATAGTCTAAGTAAATCAGTTGAGCTATCTTAGTTGATTACTATTATATACTTTTATATGAATAGTTAAGTGTTTAATTCTTCCTTAAATGCAACAATTGATAATTTCTTTTCCATTTTAGATTAGATCAAAATTATCTGGATACAATTCTGTTCAAATTGTAAATAATTTTCTATTGATGAATAATAAAATAAAAATCTAAGTGACAATGGCTCCATTTGGTGCATGGTTTATAACTTCTTCTTTTTTAATTTTTTAATTTTATGAATTATTATCAGAATATTTGGTATAATTTTTTATTATTGTTTGCTATACAAAAATAGTTTAAGGTTGTGTTTAGATCAATGATTTAAATAGAAATTTGTGAGTGAGAAAAAAAATAAAAAAATAATAGTAATGTTTTCTAACTTTTTTTCTTCTTTTCATTTTTTTCTCAATCATTGTTTCAAACACATCCAAAATAAATTTAAATAGTAGATTATCTAAAAGTATGAAAAATAATTTTTAAGATTTTGTTTTTATTATCAACTTTTGTGCTTACGAAAAACTGTAGGGAATACAGCCAATATGTTTATTCAAAGTCGCCTCAGGCATACGCTAGGCAGGCCGACACTTTCCAGGACCTTCATATTTTTTTTTAAATTAAGGATTCAAAAAAATTCAGCCCCTATACTTCATCAAGAATATTTAAAAATATGCATGTGGAAGAAAAATGTATCCTAAATAATGAGTTTTCTTCTGGATTAGGAGTTCAATGGCTCTCTTGTGAAATTGAAGTGATCAGAACAATGGCATCAAAAATGGTGGAAAAATTTGATAAATATTGGTTAGTGATACATGGTGTTATTGGGGTTGCAGTTGTACTTGATCCTAGGTATAAGATGAGTGTATTGGAGTTTTATTTTGAAAAACTTTATGGAGACAAAGCTGAAGATGAAGTTGATAGGGTTCGTCATATTTGTTATGATTTGTTGCAAGAGTATCAGCACCGAGTTGGTATGGAGACTGATGTTGTTGTTGGTGACTCTTCTGCTCATCCAGAAATTGTTACAGAGACCCTTTCTGAATTTGATTTGTTTATTAGTAGAAAGAGAAGTAAAAAAATGAAGAATGTAAGATCAGAGTTGGACCATTATTTAGAAGATGATGTTTTGCCGAGAACTTCAGGTTTTGATGTTTTGAATTGGTGGAAAGCTAGTGGACCAAAGTATCCGACCTTACAGGCAATAGCTAGGGACATTTTAGCTATTCCTGTATCCACTGTTGCTTCTGAGTCAGCATTTAGTACTAGTGGAAGGTTGGTGAGTCCACATCGTAGTAGACTTCATCCAAACACATTAGAAGCATTAATGTGTGCACAAAGTTGGTTGTGGGGTGAAGAGATGAAAGGTATTATTTCATCCAATTTGCATATTATTATTTATATTACCATGGAATAATTTCACTATTGAATTTATATTCTTTACTTTTTAGGGAATTCAACATTGGAATCGGTGGGCTATGCAACTATATATGATGATGATGAGATCGAGTCGGATCAGTCATGTGCCACTTTTGTGTTAGTTGTCATCTTTTTTGTTTTAATTGTTAACATTTTTTACATTTTATTATTAGTATTAATTATTTGTTTTTTTCCTTTTGTTATTTAACAGGAGTTCAAGTTGAAGGAGATGATGGAAGTTGTGTGGTTTGTATGGGTTTGAAGAAATAATGGATTTGCTTTTTTATGTTGTAATGGATATATATTTTTTATTTTTAATTTTAATTTTTGGGTAACCTATTCCTTGCGGGTTGTGCTTGGGATTAATTATTCTCTTTGGTACTTGTTGAATTTTCTTGTGTGTGTGGGTTGCTGGACAGATGTTTGGTTTGTGTTATTTTGTTGCTACATGATGTTTTGTTTGTGTTGTTTTGTTGGACTACTGAATTTTCATGTTGTAATGGATGTTGAATTTTCATAATGTTGCTACAGGATGTAATGGATGCTGAATTTTCAGGATGTTACTACAGGATTTAAATGGATGTTTATTGATGTTTTGTATTTTGCTTCAGGATGTTTACATTTACAGATTTTTACAAATTTTTTTGTTGCCTCAGGATGTTTTGTATGTTGGCAACAAAATGTTGCTTCAGATTTTTAATCAATTTACAGATGTTGATTCAGATTTGTAATCAATTTACAGATTTTTAATCCATTGTTTCAGGATGAAAATGGATTTTCAGGATGTTTTGTAAAAATGGATGTTTCAGGATGTTTTTTAATCTATTTACAGATTTTTACATATATAAAAAAAAAAACACCACCGGGGATTTTCAGGGTCGGGGATCCCCGATCCCCGATCGGGGGCGGGGATGGGGCCAGGCTATGAGTCCCCGTCGGGGATCAGGGACGGGGACAGGGCGCATATAAATTTCGGGGATCGGGGACGGGGGGAGTAGTCCCCGGCCCCGCTCCACCTCGTCCCGTTGCCATTCCTAATCCCCATCAGGGAAGCTGCTAGCTCGAGGGCCACCCCAGTGTACTCTATAGATGCCTGCAAGTGCGTTGAGGTGATCAGTGTTCTATAAGCATAACTGAAATAAAGTTGATATATGCAAAATGTAAAGTGTGATACATACTGGAGTCGAGCCTCGAACTCCGACAAGCTCATGTCCGGCTCGTGCAGGCTCAATGGGGATCTGGTACATCTCCTTTGGTATGCTGCCAACAAGTAAGTGTAGTGGGAAGCTCTGGCCAACCAGTCCCCTGTCTCGCCTGGGAAGCCCCTCTGCCACGGGCTCTGCTTGCCCGACTCGCTCTGCATCTTATCCTTGCGGCCAAAGCTCTCGCGTCTTCATCCCCGCGAACGCCGATCAGAGGCGACATCAAATGTGTCTGGATAAAGGTTGCATAATCGCCCTCCACATGGAAGTACTTTCCTTCCAGGCCAACCATGAACTGGATCACTACGTCAGTAGTCAGGCTGTGTGTCGTTCTCATAGATATAGGTGGTCTCATCGGTATAAATAGAGCAGACAGGTCCAACGTCTGATGCATAAAGCGCTCACCTAAAAACCATGCAAGGCAAATTGAGCCCTCAAGAAGAATATGGTGGCAGGTAACGATCCGAGCTACATTGTACCGGACTCGAAGCTCTGTCGGTATCATAGCCCAAGGCTGTCATGTGATCTGAAATAGAAAGTGAACAGATTATTAGTTGTTGTCAGTTGCTAATGTGTGCATCAAAACAGTTGTAAAGCAAAAATGACTTTGTTTCGAGTTACCTCATCTGCCGCAGCCATGTCGAAATACTGGCGGAAGAACATAAAGGACTCATGGGTCCTACAGCGGAGCTGGCCGTCATATACCCGAGAAAAGGGAACTGTCAGTGGAACCTTATCCACAAACTCTGGGGCAAGAGCCGGGAAGTATGCGTATATCCAAAACTATAGGAAGAATGCAGAGGTATAAGATCAGGTGCAGAAAATGCAAAGCAGAAAGCATATAGTAAGATTAGGTGCAGAAAATGCAAAGCAGAAAGCTTACAGTAAGATCAGATGCAGAAAGTGCAAAGTAAAGAGCACATGTGTGGAATAGAAATAAAGAAAGAAATGCTTGAGCATAAAATGTAAAGTGTAAAGAGGGAATTGAGATGTGTACCTCTCAAGCTCGCCAATAGCCTCCAACCAAAGTCCCTCGCAGACAGAAGTAGGAGTTCATATATCCGTACAATGTGGTGAGGCCGGCTCTGCCCCAATCATAAAACTAAACTCGAGAAAGCACCACCAAGGCGCTCAACAAATACAGACCCACGGTATTTCACCTGTTTGAAAACAATGTGGTATCGAAGATGAGCATGAGGAAGCCTCTAGCATACTGCACTATCTCCTCAATCGTCTCGGGTGACAAAGGCACTCCTCAAACTAGCTGTATCGCACCATGCCTACTCGGTATATCGGTGGATGTGCCCCAAGCAGCTCGAGCCATGCTTCCTCTCATTCTCCTATGTCTGGATCGAGAGGGATCGGATCGCCCCCTATTCTTAAGCCGGTGATCATGGCAAAGTCGTAAAGAGTCATCGTCATCTCCCTCGTGGTGGAAAAGTGGAAGGAGTTGGTGGTGTCCCACCACCTCTTCACCAGTGCTCCTAAGAGAGGACGGCTCGCTACAACCCGACTGAAGCTGGAGCAGAAGAGACCGAAGCCTGTCTCATCGACAATGTCACAAACTCCAGCTGGAGCTCACCATACCAATCTCGAGCGGTCGTCGAACCATAGCCCTTAAAGGCGTGAGACTCGCCCTGTGGTAATACATGGAGTGCAATTAGACCAATGCAATGCATGAGATGTAATCAGATCAAGACAATGCATGAAGTATAGTTGGATGAAGGTAGTACAAGAAATGCAACTAGTTAAGGGCAATAAAGCATAAAAACAGTTTCATACCTCAATGGCAATGGCCGATAAATGAGATGCTGACTCCCTCAACAAGAGGTCCTTTGGTGCGTCTTTAGCAAAGTCACTAAAGGATCTGATGCCTCTCGCAGTGGGCACTATGTGTGTCTAAAGATGGTACCTCGCTGGATTAAAAGGCCGTATACTCAATGGTAATGGCTCTGGCTCGGCCTTGGGCTCGGCCTCGAAGTCTGCCTCGAAATCTACTAGAGGAAGCTCCGGGGGAACCCCATCATGAGGAAGATCATCCGCCATCTAAAAAGGAAGTGAGAAAGTGGGCGAAAATGAGAAAAATGGGTGGAGAATGCCGAAAGTCAACAGAAGTCAACCCTAAGAGAGAGAAAATGGCAGAAGAAGTCAAAGTCAGGAAAAGTGCACAGAACTCAGTTTTTGCATACAATGAAATTGTATTTCTTGGTTTTTTGGCCATCACGCATTGAAAATGCTTAGTTGGTGGTTTTGGAGCGAAGAATACCACTCCTTGGAGATGTTTTGATGATAAGGAGTGGTGCACAGTACATACAACCTGTGAAATTACTTCTTTCCTACCCTGTGTTGTGCTCTGTTGCAGTAGAATGAAGTTGGTCATCAGTGGCCGGCACGCCATACACTGATGGCCGGCAGCCTTTCACTGATGGTCGGCAGTGCCTTTTTGTAGCAGGCACATGGCCGGCAACCTCCATTAGTGGTCAGCCAGCCACTGATGTACTCTCAGAACAGTGCCATTTTAGCATACCAAAATTCAACTGTGCAAATAGAGGCAGTCAGTAGTAACACAGTGGCATTTTGGGTGGAAAACAAGCGCGCGCATGTGCATTTGATGTGTCTCAAGTTTAACTAGCTAGAATAGCATGCCTATTGTTATTTTTGAGCTATTTTTGTCCTTAATTAATTTAGTTTAATTAATTAGCGCAATATGTATTTGATTAGATTAGATTAGTTAGTTGATTGTTGTAACAATTAAGTAGCTTAGCTTAGCTATTTCTTTATTTTGTTTTGTATTAATTAGCTTAGCTTAGACTAGCTTAGTTTATTCATTCAGACCCTCCTTCGCGAGGGCATAATGTTGTAATAAGTGTGCGTGCGTGTGTGCATGTCTTCCAACCCCACGTCTTTCTCCCCTTTATTTAATCGCTTTCGATGGTTAGATTAGGGACATATTTTGATTAACATACCTTATGCTTGCATGTTTGCATCCATTCATTTGTCTTGCATGCACCGAGGCTCGGCGCATCATTCAAATTGCATTGTCTTTTCGATATTTCTTTGAATATGTGTTTCAAAACATGCTATCAAATTGTTGTAAATACCATGATTAGGTAGCCGAGCCTATTTAGTCGCATTCTTTGCATGTGTTGCATTAGACACTTTGTATAGTTAGGATCATGCGTTTTGTCTAACTAGTTTCTGTTTTGGCTCGGAATACTCGGTGAGTCTTTAAGCTTTAGCATATTGCATGAGTGTGATTGTCATAGTGCCATGTTTTGCATGCTTGCCATGAGGCTATGTGCTTATATGATTAACTACATGAATGTCTGTGAATGGAGGCTTTGTTGTTTGAATTGGAACGATTCAACGAATGTAAGTTTTAAACCCACTTAGTTGTGGCAAAATCATGTTTTAAGCCCACTATGTTTGGTGGCAAATCTGCATCTTTAAGCCTACTTGAGGGTTGGCAACTTTAAACCATTTTCACAAAACAAATATGAGTTGAATTGTTCCAAATTAAGTAAACTAGTCTATACTTGCTTGTGTGCGTCACACAGTAAGGTTAGATTAATAACCAGAATAAGAACACAACTGCCGACCACTAAAGGTGGCCTAAAGACCAAGAAAACCAGTTTCCCGACCAAAAAACCAGCTAGCGGGAAGGAAAGTGGTCTCCAAGGGGAAAAACTGGTCTCCCATCCTTGTACCACATTCCAAGCAAGGAAAATAAGGTTTGTACCAAAAACAAACCAACACGGATGCAAAACGAGAGTTCGGGAGGCAAAGCGCGCAGCCGAGAGCCTCGAAACCCAGCTGTTGAGCACCAAAAGTGGTATACGACCACAAAAGTGGTCTCCCGGACCATAGTGTCCTTCTAGATAGAGGAAACAAGGTGTGGTTCAAAAATTACGCCAAACGGAGAACGTTAAGCGGTCCCGAGACAAGGTGCACGGCCGAGGGCTCCAAAACCGGAAACTAGTCTCCAAACGGGAAAAGCGGTCTACGACCACGAAAAGTGGTCTACGACCACAAAGAGATGGTCTACAAGACCTCTCCCTCTCTCCGGGAAGAGAAACAGAGTTCGGTCCTCAGACCGAGCCGAAGCACAAAAGAGTTCAGAAGCCCGGAGGCAAGGCTCTCAGCCAAAACTCCGAAACCTCTAAACGAGCACAACATGCACTATCATCGAGCGCTCAATCGATAACGTCTGAGTCTTAAGGTCAGTCAAAAATGGGGTGTCTACAGGTTAACTTAATTTACT